CACTGCTGAAATAGATGCTCCCAACCATTTCAGGAGCTTTCTGTTGGCCTGAGTTTGTCATCTGGTTCCAGCTACCCCCACGGATAGTGAGATATCTGCCCTGGCTACACTTAGGTGAGCTCAGCTGATCTGAGGCAGCCAGCTTGGCTCATTTTGACTCTGGCAGAAAGAAAAAGGATTCTCAGATGATTCTATCAGGAGCAGATACAAGGTGGAGCAGTGGGAGGCAGCGCAGCAAGGAGGTCAGTAAGCAAATAACCACATGTGCTCTCACAGTAATGAAGTGACTCTTTCTCTGTAGTCTTCCCTGATGGGAAGCGACAGCCAAAAGAATCATTACCAGAGATGCCAACTTGGGCAGCACAACGACAGAGAGAAGAAGATTATTGCCTTAACATTGTGCCCACTGCAGCTTACAAGCCAATGAGATACAGAGGAAATGAAATGAGCTGACACCTACTTAGTCTCTTCAGAGAAGAATATTTACTTGGGTTTGTCTTGACGGCAGACTCATAGGATGGTGGGAGGTGAGAGAGGTTCTGGAAGGACCGGGAGAAAGACAGGTCATAGGGTTCGGTGGCAGAAGTCAGGATGTTGTTCATTCGCGGCTTGTCTGGAAAAAAAAAAACAAACAATAGAGAAAAGCATGTTCACAGTATGCACCAAAACAAGTTGAGAGGCAAACCGTTCCCACAAACTCCGGCAGGGAGGAGAGATGTATCTGAGCCAGCCTCAGTGACAAGCTGTTGGACGTAATCCAAACTGGCACTGGCAGATCGGTGAAAATTGGATCCTGTGGTGTTGTTTCCTTGTCCACAGTAATTATGGAGAGAAGCAAATTACTGCCTCGAAAACGCGTGGACCAACCAGCCCTCCTCACAGTGGGACAGATGATCTGGTGGACTGTGAGTCGCCTCACTTACCATGGAGGGCTCTGCCACGGTTCTGTGGACTGACCCCACTGCAGCCTGCATGAGTTCAGGCAGCATCACCTGCCTTTACTCCAGCAAGCTGTGCTTTCCCCACCCTCAGAGCTATGGGAACGAGTCTATGGGGTTATTTTAACTGGGGCTGATAATCAAATTTCTCTCTCATCATGCCAGATTTCTGATTAATGCTCTGAACGTGGAGGCTCCTGGGCAAAGCCTTCCATGGTCCCAGGGGTTCTGGTGAGCTCTAGATATGGCCATTCTTCCCCTGCACACAGGAGAGTGTGAAGCTATGGGGTGCACATCTGGGTGCAGACAGAAGACAGGCAAGGTTTGGAGAGTACGAAGTAGGAAAGGAAGTGCCATCCCTGAGGGGTGGAGGATGCTCCTCTACTTATTTTTATTATATTGGTCACTGAGGGAGTCCCCAGCCAGTGTCAAAATGCCCACTGCCAGGGTGCTAATGCTGAGGGCACAGTCAATAAAGATTAGCACTGAGATTGGATGTTAAAAGTCAAGTCCAGACAACCTGCAGAGTTTGTCTGATATTGAAATCATGGTCCTTTTCTGCAAGCTGGATGGAAAATGGTCTTTCATCAGCTCAGCCAAGCAACAGGGACCTGTTGAATTGTTGAATTGTATTTATAACTCCCAGGTGTTCAGATATTAAAATAGGCAGAGATAAGAGTTTTAAAAATAGCAAGAGCTTCAATTATTAGAAGCAAAGCTAGAACAGACTACAGTGGGCTCTGTGGGAGCTTGCAGCAGTAATGGGATTGCATTAGCTAGGTCAAAAGGCCAAGGAGGTAGTCACTTTAAGTATGGTCTGAAAATGAAATCAGAGGGCTAAGTTCTCTGATACAGCTGAGGAGCTGCAGAATGCCCAAGTCTTGGGTTCACACATTCCTGTTGTGCACCCCTTTAAAGTGTGCTCATGAAGAACAATGCAACATGTGCTCATACACACTCATGTGCCTCAAGACCCTCTTACCTCCTCTGAACCATGGACTGGTTGAGATTAAAGCACAGCTTCTGCCCAAAGGCAATTGAGTGGCAGAGGAATTTCACCTCGACAAATGTTTTGGCTTTGTGCAGTGTCCAAATATTTGCTAACCTTCCTCATCTCCCACAAAAATTTAAAACAAAATCCACCCAATTAAAGTGCAGATATTTCAGAAGACATTTTTCTAGAGTCACAAATTAAGCTGTTTCCTGCAAAAGAAATTTGCAAGAGTCAGGCCATCTCCTCCCCTCCTGCCTTTCTCTTGCATGGAGTCCTGTTTGCGTTAGACAGCAGAACATTTTCCTTTCTGAGTGCTCACATTTCACTATGTCCTTGGTGCTCTCTGTTGCCTAGAAATGGACCCAGCAGTTCCTACGCATGTCTGCACATGGGTATGCAGAGCTGCCTCCACAACTTTTCTCCCACTGTGACTTCCTCTAGATGTTTTAAACCTTCAGTCACCGACCTTTTACATTGCACACATGCTTCTCAGTCAAAGACAGGCTGAGACAGTCTTGTCTTCTGGCACAAACCTGCTCGTGATTTCCCAAAGCCAGCATGGTCAGAGCACTCCTCTGCACCTCTCAACAGAGTTACATGCCGGGTGTTCAATTCAGAGGCACCTGAGCCATTTGGGGTATGCCGGGGTATCTGAGATATCCACAAATGGCTGAAAGGAGTGATGTGGGACCTATCAGAGATTTGATGCCACCCATGTTTAGGCACTTGAATTACATCTACCGTGTCAACAAACCCAACACTTGCTCCTTCCTGCCCCTGTTGCCACTGATTCCGTGCACTCTGCTGTTCCATGAGCTTCCTCACAACGAAGCTTCCTGCAGAACAAA